TGTTGCTGTGTTCTCTCGAATTTTGTTTGTCTAGTTGGGGGGAGATTCAGCCGTTCCCCGGTTCGTTCGTCCGATCTGTTAAGGGAGCTTCTCATTTCATCGTGATATAGTTCTGGATGGGTAGATGTTTGTCTCTTCATCGCTGATAATATGATAAGAGCGCTGTAATGTGTGGATGGATCATGGATGGAGTTAGCGTTTCATCATTAATGGTGTCCTGTATAGGTTCATCGCCTCGACGTGTGCTCACGAGTGCTCCAAATTCTTAACGTCTCAATTTGGGATGTTCAATTCCATGTCTCGCATGATTTGGCCTGCAGATTCTTTGGGTTGCAAGCTCTCTTCTGGTTGATTTGAAGTTGGGGTTTAACTGGCAATAGGGGTTCTGTGTTTGTCAGTGCCACCACCAATTCTAAAATCTCCGAGTAACTCTTTTTGAATTACACTTTGTCTGATGCCAGTCCTCACTAGTAGATAGAGTAATATATGGGGTTTTGTCTATGCACATGTGATATGCTGAGGTTTTGCTTTTGTTGTAATCTCTGTTTTTTTTAGGTTGAGAATAGTGGACCGGAGGCTGTTTCTCAATTTCTACTGGCGTTTCCCAATGTCCAAGCAAAGAACTTAGCAGCTATAAGAGCATTTGGTACTGAGGAAAAGGTGAAAGGTCCAAGTATGGTCCTTCCGATTGAAGTTGTTCAGCCTTCTGGAGTGCCCCCAGAACTTACATTCTTTTCGGCATCTTTATCCAAACCTTTGGAGAAGGGGAAGACTCTTCACTTAGATGTCCTGACCGTATTTACGCACTCTGTCCAGCCATTCCCCGAAGAAATCACACAAGCTGAATCGCAGCTTGTTGTCTATCAGGACAGTGCTCAGTATCTGTCACCTTACCCTGTTAAGGTACAGACACTTAGTATCAGATTGCCTGGTGGAAGAGTTGAGTCCTACACAAAGTACCCAAACACAAAACTTGCAGAGTCAGAACTAAAATATGGACCATATGAAGATCTTCCACCGTTTTCCTACTCCCCTATGGTTGTGCACTATGAGAACAATAACCCTTTTGCAGTTGCAAAGGAAGTTATAAGGGAGATAGAGATATCTCACTGGGGGAATGTACAGATTACAGAACATTACAACATTGCTCATGGTGGTGCCAAACTCAAGGGTGAATTTTCCAGGTTCTTCTCCCTTCTAACTTGTGCTTTAAATAGCTCACCTTTAGCTGGATAGAAAAAATTTGTCCAGAGATAACTGATGTGTTCAAATTTGCAGGATTGATTACCAATCTAGACCGTACATAAGAGGGGTCTCATCTTTTAGGCATCTTATTGCTAGACTGCCTCCAAGGGCACATTCTATATACTACAGAGATGAGATTGGTAACATTTCAACATCACATTTATGGAGTGATTCCAAGAAGGTACACTTGCTTTTTATTATCTCAGTTTCAAGGCTATAATATTCCCAGCAAAATTGCAAAAGTGAGTGCATATGCTGAATATTTATCCTATTGCAGACTCAACTTGAAGTTGAGCCAAGGTTTCCTTTGTTTGGTGGTTGGCAAACGACCTTTACCATTGGTTATGGTTTACCTCTTCAAGACTTTGTTTTCAATTCTGATGGAAAGAGATTCCTCAATATCACATTTGGTTCTCCAGTGGAGGAGATTCTCATAGAAAAGCTTATTGTGAAGGTATGTTCTCCTGTACCCATCTGGCACGCACGGTAAAATCTTTCATTTTTTACCCTTGTGTTCCATGTTTTGTTCTTAATTGCACTGATATAGAATTTTAGACACCAAACATAATTCCTTGTGTTGCCTATTTCTTTGATATTGAAATTAGATCTTCATTTATTGCTGGGAACCTGCAACTAACATACCCTTTTGTTGTCTTGGCTATCTTCTGGTGTATTGTCCTTCACTTAGTTATTTTTATTTTATGTTTCTAAAAAAATGTAGATGACATGTCATGGTTAGATAATCAATAAGAAATACATTTGCACATATTTCCATGAACGTGATGTTACATATTAATTTCCCTCCCTGCATAAAAACCTTTCTTTTTGAACAGGTTGTTCTGCCTGAAGGTTCAAAGGATATTGATATTTCAGTTCCATTTCCAACAAAGCAAGAGCAAGAGGTGACTTCTTGTTGGATGATACACACACACACACACACACATATATTCTGAACAACTAGCTGATCCTGTTCTTTTGTTGTAATGACAATGATTTGTGGTGCAGGTGAAGTATTCACACCTTGATATTTCTGGAAGGCCAGTGGTTGTCTTGGAGAAGCTTGATGTTATTCCAGAGCATAATCTATATTTCCAGGTTTGTCTTCAGACTTAATTTGTTGTGCAACTAATTTTACCCCTCCATGAAAAGTTGAGCGTTGCTAAATTATTAACCTGACTGAAGAGTATGTAAAATCTGCTATGCAAAAGGCTTACTGCACCATGAATACTTTCTGTGAGTTGTCTATCTCATGGTGTTTTATGTGAACCATAGCAAACTTATGGTGTTAATGCCCTACAATATGCAGGTTTACTACAGGTTCAACAACATCTCTCTACTCAGAGAACCGATGATGTTGATAACTGGCTTCTTTCTCCTCTTCATGGCCTGTATTGTTTACATGCGCACTGACATGTCAATCTCTAAGAATTCTCCTTCTTATCTGGCAAAGGTGCAGTGGGATGAGGTATGGTCGTTTTAGTCAAATCTCCCCTTTGAGGATTGGATTTTGATGATTTACGAGAAATGTTTAAATCTATCTTGCCATAACCTTTCTTCTAGTGAACTACAGTTTGTTACTATACTGCTGCTATGTTTAGGATGAGCACTAATTACAGTGAAATAAACTTATGAATCATAATTCGAATTGGTTTGCTAGCTCATACGGAGTACTATGTAGCGGTGTTATTTTTATGGGAGAAAAAAAATGCAATGATAAAAACTTGAACTAGTAAATATCAGATGACAAACATATTAGGGCCTGAGCAAATAGCTAGGAAAGGTCTCAAAATGTGCAGGGTTGAATGGTGGCCTTAAATTTTGGGGAGGGCTTGTTTACTAGTAATTTTAGTTGGATAAGTGACAAGTTTACTATCAGAATCATGTGAGAACTTTTAGTTGGATAAGTGACAAGTTTACTATCAGAATCATGTGAGAACGCTGTCCTTTCTGTTAAAGATTGGCTTTTGAGAGCTTTGGTCCAAAAATGGACAAGTTACAAGTGAAGGGTCTTAACCACGGTGGAATAGAATCTGCAAAACAAGCTCTAAATGAATCTGGAGGTAAAGAGCAGTCCATGCTGTGTTAAAAGCGAGCTTCATAATTGACAGGGAAAAAAATGTTACTTGAAAAGTCCTAAATCTTCAATCCAAACTTCAAAGTTAAGAAGATAATAATTGCGTATCATTGGTTTAAGCAGTTAAGCTGGATCAACATTAATTGTAGTGTTTCTGGAATTGAAGAATGCTTTAAACTTGTGGAGACCTCTTACTTTCTGCAGACTAACCTCTACAATCTATTTCATACTTTTTGTACAGGTACAGAGCATCATCCAGCAAATCCAGGCTATCTTCAACCAATGTCTAGCAGCTCATGATAAACTGGAGACCTCATTACACGAGTTATCTAGGTCAGGAGATGTTAAATCATGCAAAGTGGCTCGTAAGACAGCTGATGCACAGTTTAAGGAATTAGCAAAAGAGTTGAAGCCATTGTTGACATCCCTGCAGTCATCCTCTCAGTCTTACCAGATATGGCCAAAGGTTTGCTCAACGTCTTGTGCATAGACCACCTAGAAGAGAGAGATACTTACTAGTGCATCTTTATTCACCATTTAATTTGAATTTGAGTTCTTTGCCCACATTCTCTAATTAAGTATATGCGCCATAGTGGTTACAGTTGGCCTTTTTTTCTTTAATGCAGGTAGAGGAATTGGTTGCCAAGGAGAGAGAGTTGCAGGATAAGCTCATGACAAGGCATTCCACTGTGGTTGACAGCTTTGAAAAGAAGTTGCGAGGGCAAGATGTGGAGAACAGGATTGCTGCCCAGCAGCAGAAAGTTGCTGCCCTGAGGCAAGAGGTCGAATCTCTTTTAGAGTACATCAGTGAGATCTGAGCGAATCCGGCGCTGCATGGTATGTCAATTTAGCAATTAGACTGGAGAATGGATCACCTGGTTTCTCATTGTGCGAATTTGATATGCTCGAATTCGAATCAAATACTCGTAGATTTCCTGTTGATAACCTGTCTCAGTCATTCAGGCTGGGAGTTTCAAAGGACCTTGTAACATGATAAGCACTTGTGACCGCCTGAAACTGATTGAAATTTTGCACTTAATAGCAAATCACGCGACCTTTCACCTTGTTTCATATGTAATTTTCATGAAGATGCCATAATACCTTTCACGAACATTGCAACGTTTCTAGACAGCAACTCTTTCATGGTAGTACTAAGCTAATTGCTCCATTCACCTAATAGGGTCATCATGGGAAGTTGAAGATCAGGCAAAAGAAGTTTGACAGCTAATCATATTTTATTTTTTTTCTTAATAAAATATAACGTCTCATGTGTTTTTCGAGAAAAGAAAAAAGCCAAAGTCATTTTTCGCAGTTGACAGTCTGAAATAACAAAGATTGACCACCGGGTGTATCATCTTCATGTTCTGGACTCCTAAAAGCTCATCTAATATGTTAAAACCCTAATAACTTGAATTAATGGATTGTACGTAGTATCAACTCTGCCACGGACTGGCTCGTCAAAACGTCCAGTGAGACATGTGAGATCTCAAAAGCAATATTATTTCTCTTTACCTATGGCGGTAGACGGTGCTCCTAACGAATGAATTCACTGTGCCAAGAGAAATAAACAGATGAAAATAGGCTTGTAAACATCAGACATGGGATCAAGCCAGCTAAAATATTATCATTTTTGTTTGCTTGTATTACAAGATCAACTAGGATTACTCTGCTGGGTTAATTAGATCCGTGCCATTAAAAATATTCCGGTTTTAAAATATGCCACGAGCATTTACATATTTGAATCCATGCCATATAATTTACACATATTCAAGATATGCCACTACCTACCTCTTAGATGCATTTACGAAAAAATGTGGACCAAATTGCCCTTGTTTCCTTCTTCCTTTTTCTCCCCTTCTTTCTTCCACAGCTCAGAGACCAGTGATGCTTAGTGTCGGCAGCAGCAAGCACAACCAGCGATAAACATACGAGTGTTGCAGTCATTGTCTCCTCCCTCTCCAGCGTTATTTTGCACGCGACATCTGCATCTCCCTCCACCTCACACTGCCGTTAGGGGGACGCCTGCGACTGCAGCGCTATCTCCACCTCGGGGCTCCGCACCCTCGCCGCGGCCGCCGCCTGCTGCTGCTGCTGCTACTGGGGGACGCCTGCGACGGCGACGGGCACACGGAGTGCAGTGTTGCGGTTGCGACGGCGGCGGCTGAGGCGACTAGGGCAGCGACTGCTGGAATCGGATGGGCTCGAGCAGCGAGGGCGATGGCGGCAGCGATAGAGCAAGTTGTGGCTCACAACGGCGAGGACGGCGGCGGAGAGAGCGGAGAGAACGGAGCGGCGGTGGAGCAAGAAAGCAGCGGGAAGAGAGAGGTAGAAGACGAGGGAAGAGAGAGAGGTAAAAGATGAGTGCATTTTCGTCTAATACATGCAAAATACGTATCTTTGTGGGTATTAACACCACTGAGATTATAAATAAGTAGCAGTGGCATCGTTACAAATACGCAATTGAAATTACAAATAAGTAGCAGTGGCATCGTTACAAATACGCAATTGAGATTACAAATAGCAGTAGCATTGTTACAAATACGTAAATAGTAATAGTATATTTCGAAACCAGCAAATTTTTAATGGCATGTATCTAATTAACCCTATCTATTTTCATGTATGACATAATATCATTATATTAATATTTAAAAATACTTTTAATTGTTAATGCTTCTTGTTTTGTACCTATATTAGGAAGAAATTAATGATCAAAATATTTATTCAATGTCAAAGACTATATTGTACGCCTCAACTCTTGTGACTAATGAGAAAGGAGCAAGTATTCACGGCTAATTATTTTTTTAGTAGTAGATAATGTATCTGTCGATAACGAGACACACACGATAACTTGGTCGATACGAAAATTTACCAACCCAGTTATTTTATATGATAATAGAGATGAGGTATGCGTGTATGATTTCATAGAAATAAGTGGATGCGTATTGTGATCATGTTTGTTCTTTATAAAAAGAAGTATTTTAAAGGAGGTGAACAAAATCGTCTTTGCCTTTCATCACCCTTTACAAGTTTGACCTTTTCATGTCATGAATTTTTTTTAAAAAAATGGATAAATTAGCAATGACAAAAACAACATTCACCCCCACCTCTTCCCCTGTTTCTGACCAATCCCCTCTGCTCTCTCCTCTCCTCTCTCCCTCTCCCGCGATCTGCAGAGCCGCTTGTGCCCCCGCGCCGCCTTCCCCCCCCCCCCCCCCCTCCCCCCGCCGTCGCCGGAGGCCTCCGTCGTGCGCGCGGCCGGCGAGGCCGCTCGAGTCGAACCGGAAGGTACCTATTCCTCTCTCTCGCAGCTCGTAGCCCCCCTCTCCCCCATCCCTCCTCCTTCCGCGCCACTTCATCAGCGGGGGCGGTGTGGACTGGAGATCCCCCATCCCGGCGTGGATTGGATTCGATTGGTTTGATCTCGTTTCTCTCCCTAGCCTGTAGCTTTTTCTTTTGTTAGAAACGGAAAACGGAGGATTAAACCCCATATGCCCCCGCGTGTTAGGTTTAGGTCTGCCTGCACCTGGATTCATCGTTCTAGGGTGGGGGATTTATGATCGAGTACCAAAGGATTTATGATCCGCTTGTGGTTTTTCGCCTTGCGATAAAGCTGAACACAGTTGACAATAATTCTCTCTGTAGAGATAGTCGATGGGCGATCGTAATCCTGACTAGAAAATTTGATTACACTGCCATCCCGCACTACTTGTGGTTCTATATAATAAATGAATTCGTTGCTCGTCATTGCGCCGTTGCTCATTCTCCATTCCTGAGCACGCACAAACTATTGCGCACCATCCTTGTAGCTGGTGGGTATAATATATGCGTATTGATGCAAGTGTGTCTAGTGGCCATCGCTACCAAGGAAAATCAGTGATCACTAGGTCATGGCTGACACGATTCAGCAGTGGAGCTGTGTTGTTGATTAAGACCCCATGAAAAGTCAGTTAACCTAAGATAGTTATTACTAATGGTTCCCTTGTAACAAGAATTGGGGATGGTACCCAGTGTGCCCCCACATCCATTGATGCAGGCCAAATTGTTTGTGGGCTGCAAAACCTTTCTCTTATCATAACAGACAAATGAAAACCAGAAAATGGTCTATATATATATATATATATATATATATATATATATATATATATATATATATATATATATATATATGGTGTTGGTTTTTCTTCTCAGTATTATGAAATCTACACACATCCAGAAGAGTAATTTGTGTTGGATGATGCCAATATTTATTTCTATAGTGTATGTAACGTTGTGGCAACATCAGCATGTCACAATTTGTGTGTGTCTGTCTTAACACATGCTAATTTTGATGTGTGTGTGTGTTGTGCGTGTGGAGGGCAGGGGTATCCTACCCCTTCTGACTACTATGGAACCATCACTCTGAGCTGGTAGGAGCAGTAACCATTTTCACCAGTTAATCCATCGCTGCTGCTAAATGTATCACTATGTTTATTTTTTCTTTAAGCCAATAGCTTGTCTCGACAGCATACTATGTTCAAAATATTGTGGTGCTCTCTCCAAGCTGGGTTAGTTATGCATTTATAGATTGTCCTGCTCAAATATCTTTATTGATCTTCAGTCACTGCAAGACCATTCACCTCCATGCACATGATGCACTCTCTAAAAAAGTTACATTCTACCAGTTCATTATCTCATTTGTCATGTGCAGAAAATTGTTTGATTAACTTTGTTAGTATTATGAGTCATTCGGGATCATCAACTTGAGATGATATTAAGTCGTGTCGATATGTTGGAACTGGGAATTTGCACGTGCTTTCCTATCTTACACTTATGCCACTGACAGTTGGGCTCTGTTTTAATTTAAAACACAGGAATTTCACAGATATCAGTTCAATTCCTACACAAACCAGAAAAAATCTCACATTACATTTGGGCCTTAATGTTCTAATGTTTTTACCGTATTTGCATATCTCCAACTATATGTTATTATTTTTCTTTCTGGCATCATGCATCATCAATTTTCCTGCATGAAAACATGATGAAGCCATTTAACATTATATGACTTTGGCAGCTTTCGTGAGTGAGGATTTCTCAAACTTCATTTATTTTCCATCACTGGGAGGTGTTGAAGCTTAATCATGAGGTCAATTCTTGCTTCCTACCTTTGGACATATTTCTGCTGGTTTGCATACCTTAGGCCCACGCCCATAACACGTTACCAAGAAGTATGTTTGGTAAATTCTGAGGATTATTTGTTATTTTCCAGTTGCTATGATATGTAAATTAAAAAAACAAAACTCGGCCGGCGGGGGAAAGACCGCCCCCTCATCTTTTCAAGCTAAGAAGAAACCACAGACAAAGCTAGTCAAGAAAGGCCACGAACCCTGGGCCCTTGACAAAGAATCAATTTAAGCAGCACCTCTTTGTTTACAGTTGTTTTTCCTTTTTTTTTCCTTTTTACCTTACAAAAGTTAAGGTTCCAGCCAGGCAGTTATTAATATGAGGTGGTGTAAAGATTCAGCAGTTTCAATGATGATGAAATCAGTGGTTCCATTCCGGATTACTTCAGGGTCAAATATTGTTTAGATGGGACTCAATGTTGAGAATTTAGAGCTGTATGATTGTATGATTGTTTAGTAAAATCAAATATTACTATAAATACTAAAAAGTTGAGAATTTAGAGCTGTATGATTGTTGAAGTATGATGTCTCAATCTTTTAGGCCCAGAAATAGTAGTTTGTTGATTTATGCTGCTTGGATTTCAGAACCTGATACGTTAAAACTGAAGGGATGAAAGGGCAAACAGAGCTTGTCAAAGTTTTGTGTTAAGAAAAAGGTGACACGGCTCCTTTTGATGATGGTACCATGGTGGAATAACTTACAATAAGGCCCTAAGTGCTTAGACAGATACACCATAGCTGCTGATTTGTACATGAATTTTGTTTCGAAAAACTGTTTGATTTTTAGATTAAAGAACTTTATGGAGTTTTAGATTCATACACCATCTTTTTTTCTTTTTTGGTGTGGAAATGCTGGACTGTTAAGAGCTAGTTGAAAAAAAACTACTGCACAAGCGTGAGTTTAGAGTTTACTTAATTTGATTTTACTGTTTTTCTTTAGCTCTCGTCGTGTGAAGTGGAATGAAGACAACCTGTATGAGATTGAATCAAATAAACCTGTTAGGCAGAAGATAACTGAGCCTAAGACACCATATCACCCTATGGTAGATGATGATGGTACATGTTTTCCTGTTCTGATCTCATTATACCTTTACTTGACCATATTAGTTACTGTGTCGTTGTTGAATATGTCTTGCCATTGCTTTCTTTATAGGGTCATTGTCACCAACGCGTCCTTTTGACAAGTGTCTGGATGAGACTGTTAATGCTGAAGCTATTTTAACTGCTTTAAATGGTGTGGCTTCTTCAAGCAAAACTGATCCAAAGGATGATGGTTGGGCATCCTCAGATGATGATGCAGATGCCATGGAACAAGATGATGGTTGTGCCTCTTACCCTGTTCCCATTTTCATATATCTACCCTGCATGTAGTAATTTGCTCTTATATTTTCCCTGTTTCAGTTAAATGCATTTGAAGACATCTTGTTTTTGATGGAAAAATTAATTAATTGATTATCAGGAAATTACATGAATATGTCTGAAAAGTCTTGTCATTGGATAAGTAGCGCAAATCTTACTGGAAGTTATAGTATGTTAACATTTTGTAATAGTAAAGCACATACACCGACCAAACCCTTAGCATTGCTCTACTAAAGCAACGTACATATCTGGAGAGGAGGCATTTAATAGAGATTCTGAGAACCAGTTCAAAATAAATCTTGAAGGTTATACTTTGTACCAGCTCAAAATGATGATGATTAAAACACATTTTTTGAGTTTGATGGTCAGAAAAGAACAGAAGTGATTATCAATATTCATTTATTTCCACATGTTAAGCTAGCTCCAATTTATCTATTAACTTCCAAAGCAAATTCAATTTTGACCTAGATGCATCTGATGACAGATGACACAGCTCTTCTTAATATATCTGTTTTATATAATTAGACAAATGTTTAGTTCTTGCTTCCTCGTTGGTAAATTTCGTCAATTCATCTTAAAATCATGTTGTATACGGAGTACTTTCTTTTGACGACATAAGCAAGGGATACATACCATCATTACGAATTGGCAATAATCTGTTATTCACCATAGGGAACCTGAAATCTTATGGAGTATGATAGTTCCTGTGGGATGTTTCCTGGTATCATCGGAGAGTTAGTTATATGTTGGTGTTCATGTAGATCCAGAAGCTGAAAAGTCAAGACTGAGTTTCAAGGAACATCGTCGTGCTCACTATGATGAATTCCTCAAGGTGAAGGAGCTGATGCGCTCCGGATCGCTGATTGACGATGAGGCTGATGAGGATGATAGAGGTGCAAAAGGCAGCCAAGCCAAAGCTGTAGGAAAGAAGCCAGCAGGCTGTGACAGCACACCCCCACCGCAAACATGAAGCAATGAAGTTACCGTTCCTTTTTCCCTGTTGTTTGCTAAGCTAGGAAAAGCTCAACATAGCAGAAGCATGTGGTTTGTCTAAATTGTGTGAAGCATGCTTTGCCTGTGTGTTAGATCCTTGTATTCAAAATCAGATGTGCATCCTGTAAACGACGCATGCCATTCATCTTCCCTTTGTGTTTAAGATCTTGATGTACCTAGAATGGCTTTGATTTAGTTTGAGTTGCCTAGCTACATTTACTTGCTGAACGGTGAGCTCCTTTGCATGTTCATTTGAGACTATTTATCAAGAGCTGATACTCAAACCACATATTGGATAAGGCCAGATATGGCAAGATATGGCCTTGATTTGTTTCACGCATAAAGTGTTTTTTTCCTCACCATATATTTCTTTAATATTGTGACTTTGTATTTCAGTATTTTTGGCGATACTAGTTTAGTTTAGTAGCGGCAAATATTTCTTTATTTATTTTAGGTGCTCTGCTCATCCTCGAAGTATACATAAGATGAGTGGAGGAAGACAGAGAAGAGTGGGTTCAGCCAGATGAATAGAATGGGTTGGAAAGATTTGGCCTGACAGGGTTTAGGGAATTTTTTCCCCGGATTACATGGAAACACCACTCCACTACACACGCACCATTATATTCGACAAAGACCTACAGTAAAATGGTACTTCCTCTGGCCCAATTTATAAATTTCTGTGTTCAGCTTTAATTATCTGTCTTATTTAAAAAATTTTATGATTAGTATTTTTATTGTTATTAGATGATAAAACATGAATAGTATTTTATGCGTGACTTAAATTTTTAATTTTTTAAAAAAAATTTAAATACGACGGACGATTAAAGTTGAACACAGATACTCATAACTGGAGGGAGTTAATCGCTAAGCTCACTGGATTCCTAATTGAAATGCATGTGTATGCCTAATATTTATGAGGGTTGTGTTTGGCACTCGTATTTCTCAACTTCTCCCTTATTTTCACGTGTACGTTTTCTGAACTTTTAAATAGTATGTTTTTTAATATATATATATATATATATATATATATATATATATATATATATATATATATATATATATATATATATAAGATCTATTTTTCAAGTCATTTTAGCTAAAAACTTAATGGATTATGCACTAATAAACAACCTCGTCTTCTAAGCGAGATGAATGAGTTAGCAACCTGTACTCCTGATACACCCTTGTATTTGAATTAGGTTTATGGATTTTGTGGATGTAGTGAACTACTGGAATTAAAAGAAATTCGACAAAAAAAACATCTCCATAAACTCAAGATAAATCCATGAAAAAAATTTCTACAAGCTCTAGTAAATAAATCCAACACGAAGAACAAATTAAACGAACTCCAACTCAAACAAAAAAAAAACTTTAGATGAGACATCATTGATTCATGTTAACTTTTTTTGGAAAAATAAATTGATATTATTAAGCTTTCTTTTATGCAAAACAAATTGTTGTTTTTGGATGGTCCAAAGTAAAGCAAGCACAAACTACAAGTCATCGGCTCGTTAAGGTTCGACTCGTTTGAGCTAAACGGACAACTGTTTGAGCTAAACGGACAATTCACGAGCTGGCATATAAGCTTACGAGCTAAATGCCTAGTGACTCATTAGGAGTACGGCTCCGTTTGGCTAATGGGTTATACCCATTGGGAAATGGATATAATATCCTGGTAGGATGTGGTGGTAGTTTATACGAAGGAAAATTTTATCCCATATTTGGTTGGATGGATTGGAAAAGGAAGTTTCTAGAAGAATGACTAAAATACCCCTTCAAACTATGCTAAATGAGTAAACAAACAGCACAGCTATTAGCTATAAGTTCAAATGGTGAGGGTAATTCAATAATTTTTCCTAGTAGTCAATCCACCCTCAAATCAAGCAGGATTCTATATCCCACTCCCATCCACACCCAAACAGTAGAAATATGAAAAATGGAAATAACATCCATTTCCCACACTCCTCATCCCATTTGCCAAACAGAGCCTACGAGTTCAGGTCGATGTAAACTCTACTCCTAGCCATTGCAAAAGTGAGTTGTGACAAATGTTAAATTTCGTTTAGATGTATCTTCTGTTACATTAGACCGTTCGCAAAATTCTGACAGCATAGTACATGAAGCTACCGGAAAAAAAATACCAAATTGGTACCGCTTGACATATGATATGCGCATGACAATACCGATGTAGCTTGAGCGCGAATGAACGCATAGATTCGACACAGAACTTGACAAAAACACAAAACAGGACAGTTCAACAGGCATCCGTCACATAAAAACGCAAACCCAAATCATCAGCGTGCTCGAAACAAATGAATTGTGCACAGTTCAAAACATAAAGATTTATGAACTTTAGCAGTTCTGTTAGAAGCTTGCTGGTACCATTCAGGTAACATTGACAAAAATTGCAAGTGCTCCCATGAAGAAAATGCTTTTGCAGCAGAGGAAGAAAACAGAAAATTCTAGGCATGGGAAACCCCAGTGGCAGAATGTACATCATACTCATTATTTGAAATGCTTCCGCTTAAATGCTCAAAACATTTTAATGAAAGTAAGAAACAGTGGTCCCTCAGTTGACAACATCAAGGACCAGCTTGCGTGACTTCAGGACGGACCACCTCATGCGACGGTAGTATGCGGCTTGGAGAAGTGCAAGTGACAGTAGGAAGATCCATTTCACTCCCATCTACATCAAATTAGAGTAGGTTGGTATTAGGAAATATTGCGAATTGAAAGTAATATATAAATGGACAAAAGTTGAGCTGATTACCAGTTTCCTCTCTTCCATCTCAGGTTCAGCTGCCCATGACAAGAACGAAACGACATCCTTGCCCATCTGTGGTAGAGGATGACAACAATCATGCTTAGGCCCTTAATGCTAACCCAACATGTCACAACTGTAAGAGCCCAACAACGCATTAGAAACTTACCTGGGCTTCAGTGGCAGGAGTACCATCTTCATATTCAACAGCTCCATCTATAAGCATCTTGGGCATAGCTATGGCACCACCAGGGAAGTAGGGATTGTAATGCAAACCCTCACGGATCTAGAATACAAATCAACCAGAGAGTTTACTAATGTTGCACACTGCAGAAAGCAAATAACAGAACACAACCAGCTTGAAAAATTACAGCTAGAAAAATAACACTTCGTGGGACAGGTTAGGTTTTTTTCAAAATAGAGTTCAACATCATAATTATGAACAAAAATAGTGATTATGTAGTGAATTCCAAACAATAACTGACAACAAATGAGAGGCTGAATAATTGTAAATTAACAGAGAAAACACTCAAACAACAATGGGACAACACAACTTGAAGCTGAGCACCTCCAAGTTCAACCAGTATTGCAATTACAGAGTTACAACAGTGTCAAATTTGATGTCAATATCATGTGTCTGTAAAATATGTATCCCTGTGACACAAGTGATTCAATCCACATGCAAGAGCATCTTTATTGTTTGTAAAGGAATTAAGGGCGATACACATAGCAAGTAGCAACTGCAAATGCCTAAGGTATAACTGACAGAGAATGAGATTTACCTGAACACCGGCAGGTGGATCACGGTAACCAGTAAGAAGAGCAAACACATAGTTCTGGCCATTGTGCCTTGCCTGAACATACGGAGTCAAACAGTAAATTACAACTTGAAGGTGGAAGATTAAACAATGCAACGCCAATGGCATAAAATATCATTACCTTCGTGATAAGACTGAGATCTGGTGGGTATGCCCCACCATTTGCAAAACGGGCTGCTTGCTCATTTGGATATGGTTGTGGGAACCGGTCACTTAACTTACCAGGACGTGTGAACATTTCACCCTCATCATTAGGACCATCAACCACCTCAATCTCAGCAGCCATAGCCTTTGTTTCTTCTTCAGTGTAGGCCACACCAACCAAATCTCGGTACGAAATTAATGACATGGAATGGCAAGAGGCACACACTTGTGTATAAACTTGATGTCCACGCCGAATACTGATCATAGAAGTGTTCAAATATAAGACAATGAGTAAACAGCAAGAATAGGGTAGTAGTGGTTAAAAGGATTTTCTTGGGAGCAAAAGAATATTGTGATTCTTTTCGCTATCCTACTGGGAAACTAAATTGGTGAAGTAGGTTTGAAGGATTGGGGTAACCAAGAGCATGGATCAATTAATAATAACCAAATACCGTATGCAAAGACTCTGAAATATTGCAATGAGCTAAACTCTATTTTGTAAGGAAGTTGAAAAAGGATGACTCACGATGCATGGTCATAAGAGCTAAGAATGCCAGCATGTGGCCAGGGATATTCAGCTGCTGCCAAACCATGCTCAGCTTCATCTGCAGAAGCTATTGTAGCAAAGCTTAAAAGACCAGAAGCACCAACTCCAAGAAGAGCCAATGCTCTCAGTCCAGCGGAGGATTCTTCATGCTTTATCCGGAACGAGGATAGCAGAGATGAGCCCTGAAAACATGATTATAATGTTTTAAAAAAAAGCAGGTCACCACACTAAAAAGGAGATGATCATGGGTACTGAAACTTATGGTGAACAAATGGTTACTGTCAGATTATAAACTTTGTCAAAATTAGGATAAGTAGTTGATATCATGGTCTAATTACTCAACCAGAACAGCAAAAATAAGCATTGTATGCATAATGCAGGTTTAACTGTAAAAAGTAGAATAAAGATCAATCCTGCCAAACAGAAACCCCTAAAAACTGTGCAGTAGTAACTAGTAAGAATGTGAACTGTGATTTCTTTCCAAAACCCCATCTGATACATTTCACGTTATAGTGATGTCCGGTAATACCTTTCTACATGCCATTTCAATAATCAATTCAAGATTGGTATACCATAACATTTCATACAGGCATCAGACAGAAAATAAATATTAAAAAGATTGGTAAGCGATCGGTTTTTGACAGAAGTAATACAAAATAAATAGTTCATTAAAATTCTTACTGAGGACTGATTATGGAGTGTTCTCCGTAGGAGCTGGTTAATGCCCCGACCAGCAGCCATCCAGGATACTGCATCAAATATTGAAAACTGAGATGTACAATAAAAGAGGTTATGGCATCATAATTAGTAGAAGCAACTGTGCATATTTCATTTACAGTATCTAACCATCCAAGTGGAGTGAATTTGAGTAATAACCAGGAGGATTCACCGCAAATTTACACCCTCCGTCCCAAAAAGAATCAACTTATGGAGATAAATCTGGACATGCATTTGTCTAGATTTGTCCCCAGAAGTTGGTTTTTTCTGGAACGGAGGGAGTATATGTCAGAAAATCAACCCCCAATGTCAAAATTAAAACAACTGAATGGTATTTTTTTATTAACTCATGAAAAGAAATAAGCATACATTTGGTGCCATGCATTACAATCTCTGAAAAAAACTGTTTAAATTGACCTTACTGCAGACCTTAACTTACTACATACTTGCTCCTTGAAAGAAGTATGTATGCTATCTCACCACAATGCTCTACCTAAACAAGTTACACAGGTCGAAAAAGGGAACCTTGTTATTGCATAGACAAAGCATAGATTTGATTGTCTAGCTACAACCCCTAGCCCCCTTCTTATATGCAAACCGTGGAAGACCGCGTAATAGCAACTAGGCCAATTTATCCATCTATGTGGTTAACACAAGACCATTATATCAATAACCTAATTAGAGGATAGTGCTGTTACTGCATTTGCAGAAGACCTAATGCATGCACGTAAACCATGACGGCAACATCCTATATTGATGTGCCTATAGTGACATACCTGACATATCGATATCATGTAAACTAATTTGCTAAAAGTAGGATGAAGATAGTGAAAGACATATGGTGCAAAACTTTTATCTAACACCTCATCTAGGCCATAACTCACAAATTGCAGTATTCTAATCAGTGTGTTTACAAGAAAATATACAAAAAGAAGTGTACCAGATACGCCAGTGACCTAAAACATGATATCAAAGAAACAAGATGAAACTTGCATCGCAAAAAGTTTAGATTAGTATAAATGGAGCATTGCACTATTGTCGATAAATAAGCACATACCATGCGAAATCATCTCAATTGTTAGGTGCCAACTGTAAGGCACATTGAACATAAGTAGCCACAGGAATAAATCATCTCAATTTTTCATGATGATGTAGTGATATCTCAGCCGTGCCTAATCTATCTAGCGAAAAAGATTACTTGGTACGTGACAAGAAAAAGGGAAAAAAATGGGTATGATCCATGTGGTACACGATGCGTGTTCACGTACTGGACCATATGCCCAAATCCACAGCACTAGTCCGTCCCTCATCCACTAGGGGTTCCATTGTTCTAACAACAAGTACCAAGGAAACCAAACAGAGCGGGCAGATCTAGGCGGTTCACAGGCATCAAACAAACTAGTCAAAATGGCATCCCATCCCATCCCATCCCATGGCGGATGGTAGATCCGCGTGATTCTCCAAAGCACCCATTTGGGGGCAGATCTACACGTTCCAAACAAACAAACAGAAGAATCGAATCGACAGGTTCCATCCATCCATCCAACCCACCCAGGTAACAGATCTGCGCATCCCTAGCGCTCGCCTAACAAATCGATCGCAGGGACGAACTCGCAAAAGAAATCATGAGGAGAGGGGAGAGGCCATACCGGAAGGGGAGGAGGTGGGTGCCCTAGCCCTAGCTCAGCCTCAGCTCGGTCGTCCGCCTTACCGGGAGGGGGAGGAGGAGGAGGAGGACGAGGAGGCGAGCACAAGTGGAGGTTCCCAAGAGAAGAGAAGAGAAGAGAAGAGGAGAAGCGGCGCAAAGGGCGAAGAGAGCGGGGGCCAACCCTAGCGCTGGACCCTCTCTCCTCTGCCTGGGCCAGAACTCCTAGCGCGGCCTGGCCTACTACAGAGCCTCTAAGGCTCGGTCCACTTACGGAAAACAAAAAGGAAATAAGTCCAATTCGTGTCCCTCAAATATAGCTCCAATCCTCAATTGATGTCGTTTGAACCATAATACCGGATATCTTTGAAACCCAAATTATTAAAACCGGTGTAACTTGACTCTCTCAACTGTGTTTGGAGAGTGGTTTCGTTGACGTGACACTTTGACTTATCTACCTCGATGAGTCTTCTGGTGGAGCCCACATAGACCTTTAAGGAGGGCTGGTTGTTGAAGTTACCGTTATTGTTGTTGTTGTTGCCTCCTTGGTAGAACGGGCAGGGCTGGTTCCACCCCTGGTCTTCTTTGGGATGATAGCCATTGTTCCCCATGAACATGGCTTCTTCACGAATGTCGGGGCAGTCGTTCCCCGAGTGTCCAGTGTTCCTGCAGACCTCACAAGTGATGTGCGAGTCTAGTGCCTTGACAGCGGCCTACGGGTTGTTCTTCTCCTGATCATCTAGCTTCTTCATCAGGAGGTCCAGCTTTGCGGCCAGCATTTTTGTCTCCTTGACAGTATGCATGCCATGCTGATGGGTCTGGAGATGTTCTTCACTGCAGCTCATGTTCGACACTATCTTCTCGATGAGATCAACGGCCCCTTTGACCGTCTTTGATAAGAAGGCACCCCCAGCAGTAACGTCCAAGTGATTCCGGGACGAAACAGTAAGTCCGTTGTAAAACTCTGTAGAATGAGCCAGTTGTCCATCCCATGGTGAGGACAGGCAGCTACATATTCCTGCAGACGTTGTAAAACTCCTGGAAGCTTGATATTCTCCTGCGGAGGGCATTTGTCTTGCCCATCAGGAAGAATTTTGAGAGGAACGCAGTGGAGCACTTGTCCCATGTGTTAACTGCAACCCGATTCGTGTAAAACCACTGCTTCACTTTTCCCAGGAGTGAGAAAGTGAACAGACGCAGCCTAATGGTGTCCGGGCTGACACCCTTCATGGTGTAGGTGCTGCAGATCTCTAGGAACTGCTGCAAGTGAGCACTTGCGTCCTCATTTGGCCTGCCACAAAATAGGCTTGCATGCGCCATAGTAATCAGGCTGCTCTTGAGATCGAAGTCAGTGTCTCCGAGGTTAACCTGTGGCCCGACGGGCACATTGTCAGCGGACGGAGCAGCGAACTCACGAAGTGTCTTCTCAGCCATATTCCTGAAACATGGTGACGCTGGGATGACTGGTTTCTTAGCTGAAAGTTTCTTCTGCGGAGGGACGACACTCGGTCTGACGCTCTGGAAGAAAGCTTCTGGATTTTCGTTGAAGTTTTCTGGCAGGTTTACCAGTCATGCACTATCCTGTTTTCATACCCTGTTTTCATGACACAAAGGTTAGCCTGCAACGGACAATGATTTATGCAGAGGTAATTATATATAAAAGATTATTAGCTTATAGTAATCTCTTTACTAATCTTCCCTAGAAACAGCGCTAGAAATGCTAGTTGGTATTTCTTAACGACATTACTACAAATATTCATTCCCAGCAATGGCGCATGAATAATCCTGGTATATATGTATGGTCAAAGAAGTAATCCGCAAGCGCACGGATATACCATTGTAGCATTTCACCCAGAAGTATACAATCATGTGGCTAATACCCCCTAACAGTGCCCTCCTGGTGTTTCGAGAGACCATCCTGGGTTACCGAGTTCCTTACGACAACCTGTCATGGCCGTCCAACCGGGGCTAAATACATGAGAGTACCCTCCCTAGGAATTAGTCTTAGGAATATATACTAACGTGGAGGAATACCTGTATTGAGCTGTCATCATCAGTGGTCCACCTCTACTGTCCTGCAGCATATATGCCCAGATAGTGATAATTAGTAATCTAAGCACCATGCTTACATTAATAAATACTACTCTACACCTCTGGACATGATATAGAGCAACCGATAAATCGGACACTAAACCCATGCCATTGCACCTCTCTGGTAGGCTACCCACACAATTATACCGACGCAAACATAAAGCAAGAGCAATACTCAGACTAAGCAAAGTACTGAAAGTATATAAAGAAGAATATTTCATTAATTTCGAAAGTCTTATAGATGAAAGTAGAAAAGCTGCTAGAGCCATACCGGAACTCTTCCGAAGACTCCGAGGACTCCGAGAACTATTCTATTCTACTCCACTTAGCACTAAAAATACTAAACTAAAGTATGAAGAGAAATCTTGAGCTTGCTTGAGTGTGTTGAGATAGTGAATGAACTCCTCCTGTTATAGGGCAGTTATGATGGTTGTAGCTATGCGAATTGTCCATTTTCCCCCGGAACCGTCATTGGGAATCAATTTGGAGCGTCCACGTGGAGGGCTGACCTGAGCCGACGTAGCCAGGGTTTGGCTGAACCTGGGCTAGCCCAGCAGGTCTCCAGCTTCGGCAGGGTGGGTGACAGGTGGGTCCTATTGGTGGTTGTGGCAGTTAATGCGGTTTCCAGGATGGTTACACCTGATTTGTGGACCCTCCTTATCCATAAGCTTGCTTAGGAGTGAGGTTTCTTCACTTTCTCTTTATTTTATTTGCTAAATTCCTGTAACAAATAATACTATAAGTACAAGTGGAGATATGTTATTCTAAAACAAATATGCATTGTAAGCATAGCTAGTTCTCCTTTATTATAGTTATATTGACGGTCGAGATTGGTCTATAACGTCCGTCAACAGTGTATAAAATTAGGGGATCCTAAACATGGTATGCTCCATGAGTGGCTTCTCAGCAGAAGGGTGTCTGTAGGAAGGGAAATATGGGTGTTGTTTTTTGTTGCCATACAACTTCTTCAAATAAATGCCCATCCAACCAAAAAGTGTATAGGCCATGGTCTACTTGCAGCATGGGAGGGGATGATAAGATTTGTACTAGCCAATATCAAAGAATAGTACAAAGAACATAGGGCGGGCGGAGCCAACGAATTTCTCCACCCTAGGGCCATCCAGGAAGCCATGACCAATACCCCCATGACGAAGGACTGGACCCAACCCAACAACAACGAAGCAACAAAGCCACAAAGCTATAAAGGCGGCTATGTAAATGCGTGAGGACTCAATGCCCGAGGAATCTGGCAACCCCTCCATGCGGTTGTGAAAATGATCACACCAATCCTGAAGCGAAACTTCTCCACCAACTTCAAGACTCTTCCTAATGTCCATATGTAGCATTAAGCTCTTTGGGTACATCAAGAGAGATGGCTCTAACTCACTGTGAGGTGGAACGTACTCTTCAAAAAGATCACCGTCAAGGGGCAGTCCTGAGAGTTTGTATATATCGAGTAATGTGATGGTCCTCTCGCCATGAGGAAAAAGGAAGCTGTTGGTGTGTGGATCCCATTTTTCCAGCAGAGATCTCAGCATACTTGGTGAATGGTGATGTACAGTACAAACCAAGGGAGCAATAGATAGACCCATAAATGTAATCTACCCCCTCTTCGCTACCACGCAAATGAAGGGAATGATGACGCAGGACTGCTTTACCCCATTCCGCATATCCTGAAGGAGCTAGAACAAATTCCACCTTATGGTTTTCCCAACCCAATCCCTCAGATACTATCCTATTCCCTAAGGTGGAAGCCTTATCATCTCAAGGCAAAGGGGTGAGAGGGTGAAAACAGCGGCCCTTGAAAGCGTGACCAGAAGTCCTGCCACGAGTGTTACGCGAAAATTCACCACCGATCAATTCTTTATCCACAATAGTAGGGTTCCCCAAGTCACTTGTTTCAGGTTCATAGGGCTGAAGTTGCGCCATTCTAAAAAGCGGCAAGTTATGTGTTGCTCGAGAAGAGCCAGCATCTGTCATCTACAAATGAAAAAAATATATCGGAATATGTATATAGGTGCAGCCTAAATATACAATGAGGAAGAAAAGGTATTGTTAGACAAGTTTGACATGCAAATCTAATTAACAACCCGGATTGGCTGCGTAACATATCACAAAATTTCCGGGAACCCCGATTATACGAGCAACTCATTCTATACAAATGTGGTTAAAGAAAGTTATATGTATCTATCAACCTGTAAAAAAAATGAATGACTGAAAGAGGGTGAAGAAAATCTCTCTGTACCTTCCTCTTGCCACACCTAAATCACCAATCACCCGCTGAAATTAAGACTTGGTAGGTTTCGGGCATGTGTGCATAGGGAAGAAACCCAAATGGAATTAATTAATGGAGGAATGAAAGCCAACAATAATAGTAAAAAGGAAACAAAAAAAAAGATCGCCAGTTCAGTATGCAAGATCAAATCAAGGTCTTACCTTTGATGCTGTCATTGATGAAGTCTCTCCTCAAATCCTTGCACAGAAGAGGAGAAAGAGGGAGAAGACTGGAGTAGTAGATGAGTTCAACGAACAAGTGCCTCACTGCCCCTAGCCATAGGGAACGTGGCCAAATAATCGGAGAGATGCTCCTTAATTTTCTCAACAATCTTTCAAACAACGGGCACATCGATAGTTGTGAGGATAAACTTCACATGCATCATGTCCCTACGAATCCAAAATTATGTTTCGAGCTCCGGATGCAAAACCAAAATTTTGGCAAGGGGGCATTTGTTGACACTGATTTTGGCTCGTATCTTAAATAAGATGTATTAAATTATAAACTAATATATAATCTCAAACATAATGTAAAAAAATAAATAAACAAAAATAGGAATAAACAGTCAAAACAGTCAAATGAATAAATAAAATAAAATGGCGACCAAAAATATATGGCCGCAATATAAAAATAAAATCCGCTCGGTCAGAGTGAAATGATTTCCGGCGCAAATAGAAATGCGTATGCGCGTGCCATATAAAAATAAATTAGCATCTTGGAAACACGTTCAAAAAATTAAAAAACGTGAACAAATATTTTTTACGTGCTTTTCATCGGACCGACGAACGCTGATACTTAGCTTTCTGGTCGTGTGCACATATGAAATTCGTGCTATAATAAAAGAGATCGTATAAATATATTGAGACTACGATTATTCGCTAAGTACACACCTGGCCTAAAACATATGGCCGTGGAATAGGATTTTTCCCACTCACCCAAAATAGTCATGTCCTAAATATTTTCAGGAAAGGTGTACGCACCATATAAAATAGTTTTAGACTACGGTCATCCAATAAATTAAAAAGAAAACCAAAATATATGTTCATACAACAAATGAGAAAATTATACTCCTAATTTTTGCGACGTGAAATAAAAATGCATGTCACGTGCAGACCGCTATAATGATGCGGATATATAAACACGCACGCGCCAAATAAGAGAGGGCCAGATGTCAGTGAGAGGATACACGCGCTCTCTCTCACTCAATAACCAGGCAATTAAAAGGCTAACTGGAGTAATAAAGATTAGAATGATAACAATAAATGGGAAAGCATGTAACGACCAGGGGCATGACCGGTCTGCTCATGTTCACCCCACTACCTGCACGCACGTTGCCACATTCATCCAGTCAAAATGAAGGGACCCACATGTAAGCCAAAGAAAGGTGTATGCTGTTGAGTCCATTTCCCACGATCTGCCCACGGATGCGCGCGGGACTCTGTTCTAAACCACGAAAAGCTGGTTAACCCCCTAGCGGCAAAGGAAGTTCCAGGGGAGATTAGCGTAGAGGCTAGGTGCTGTTCGTAGGCTTTGCAGAAGCGCTGCTTGTTGCTAGGCAATACTGCTGCCGTTCCGCTTTGCTCCTATGCCATCTCGTCAGCCTCTGCTTCCTCGCTCCACTGTGCTGGAAGATCAGAGGTGTTTAAGGTGGGAATCATGCTCCTCCTTCGTTATTAGGCTCGTTCATTGTGTGCGAGTCAAAGAATCTCTCGGTTCTCGTTCTTCTGCTCACGTTGATGTATTCTTTTGCTATGTTGTTCGGTTCGGCTAATGAGTACGAACCAGGAAGTCATCTTCTTGCCATATTCTTAGGCTTGACCACCATGAGTACAAGCCAAAGGAATTTTTCGTCTTTTGTTATGTCCTTCGTCTCAACCAATGCATATGAGACAAGAAAGTTCGTTTTATTTGATGGCTTTTAACATAATTTCACACTTTTTTCTATGGTTCGGCCAGATGAGTATGGGTCTAGGAGTGGCTTCTATGCACGTTTTTTTTCATGTTATCCTACCATACCCTCTGATTTGGTCTCGTTAGTGGATACAAGCCTAGACGAGATTCTCGCTCTCAGGTTCGGTCCCCTACGAATGGATACAAATCACGGATACAAACATGAAATTTGCATACACTACTACAAAATCGATTTTTCATGGCGTTGACTTTTTGTTTTCTCTAGCGGCCATAAGTGGAAACCGTTAGCGAAATTTTAACGAGGGATGAGGCGTTAAGGACCGTCAGCGAAAATGGATCTTCGCTGGCGGCTGGGTTAAGAGTACCGCTTGTAAAAATAGGGGACTTTTTATAAGCGGACCTCTTAAGTGATTTTCGCTGGCGGTTACTAAGGACCTCCGACAGCAAAAAGTACATACTCATAGAGAGCAGCGCTTGCAAAAAAAAATCAACCGCGTTATTAAAAACCCCCACAGCCCACAACCCACCACCCACCGCATCCCTCTCCTCTCCCAGTCGCCTCCCTCTCCTCTTCTCCCATACACGGCCGTCTCCCTCTCCTCTCCGGTATTCTCAGAGGTGAAGGGAGCCTGCAGTGGTAACAACGACGGCGCGTGGAGGTGGATCCGGCGATGGGGAGGAGCATAGGCGAAGCTCGTGGTGCGGAGGCGGATCCAACGATGGGGAGCAGCGACGAAGCTCGTGGTGCGCCGACAACGCGAGCTGCGGCGACTCAGGCCACGGGCGGTGGATCTGGCGGCCCGGGGAGTCGCAGGCGGCGGTGGGTGGTGAAGGAGAGGGGCGGTCGTGGTGGAGAGGTGGATCTGGCGGCGGGGAGCGGCGTGGTCGGTGGAGCCGTGGTGGGGAGGGGTGCGGGCGGCGGCGAAGAGTGGCGGTCTCCTCTCCCAGTCGCCTCCCTCTCCTCTCCTCCCATACACGGCCGTCTCCCTCTCCTCTCCTCTCTAGTCTTCTCAGAGGCGGTGAAAGGGTGCCTGCAGTGGTAACGGCGACGGCGGCACGGAAGCTGATCCGGCAACGAGGTGCAGCGACGAAGCTCGTGGTGCGGCGACAACGTGAGCTGCGGCGACTCGGGCCATGGGCGGCGGATCTGGCGGCCCGGGGAGTCGCAGGAGGCGGTGGGCGGTGAAGGAGAGGGGCGGTTGTGGTGGAGAGGTGGATCTGGCGGCGGGGAGCGGCGTGGTGGGTCCCATGGCGGGGAGGGGTGCGGGCGGCGGCGAAGAGTGGCGGTCGCGGTGGATCCAGCAGCGGCTGCCACACGACGACGACGGCCGGGCCTCGAAGGTTCCAGCGGCTTCCTCTAACCCCCTCCCCTCTCCCAGATCCAATGGGTGGCGGTGGTGCTCGGCCGGTGCTCGATCTGGCGGCAGCGACTCCGGCGGCACCCATATGTTTGATAATACAGGCAGAGTAAAAATTAAAATAATTCAAAAGTAACATGAATTCACTGCACCCATATGTTTAATCGAAGCAATATATATCCCTGCATCATATATAAAGTGCAGTAAAAAATATAATATTAATGCATGCGTGTTGTAGGTTCATAAGCCTAAAAAAAATGACAAGGTTAAAACATAAATATATAAAAATTTCTGACAATATGTTGATAAAAAGTATCAAATATTAAAGTGAACAAATACTCGCACGGTTATGCCTTGTGGTTTAGATCACATTGGTAGTAATACATGTGAGTATTTTAAGAAAATCAGCCAAGAGTCATATACCTGCTGCATATATTAAAGACAAAATTTGCTACAGAAAATTAAAAAAACGTATAATTAGCTAGTGGACAAAAAAAACTGGTAATTAGTTGCTGGACACCTGCCAGATTATGTTATTATATGTGAAGGAATTGGAGAGAGAAACAGCTGTGTAAGTACGATTTTACCCTTTATTTTTTTTTCCTTATCCTTGTTCTTTTCTCTCTATCTCATTCTTTCTCTCTTCTTCAAGTGAGCCCGAGGGCGACGGCGCGGCGAAGTCATGCTGGGCGCCTGGGTCACTCTCACGATTGAGTTTGTTTTATGTTAATTTGGCGAAGCTGCGGGCTACTGCAGCACCACAGGCCGCAGTGGCAAGAGCAAGCAGCAAGTCTGCAAGGAAGCCAAGGAGCAAGGAAGCAAAACTAAAAGGCAAATTTTGCTAAAGGACATTGTTAATGTGTGGTTTTAGCCCTAGGACACTACCTAAACTCACTTTTAGGGGAAAACACTCGATGAATATAGTAATTTGCCAGTGGACACCGTGACGATTAAAATAATAATTTCCGGTTAAAAAGGAGAGAAAAATCACGTGAAATGTCAAAAATGTCCTTGGGCCCACATGTCAGCTCTATCTCCTATCTCTCTTCTCATCTCTCTCTATCTTCTCTCCCAGAGGGGAACGGGGCGGCGTCGGTCGCTGGGGCTCGAGCTTGTTGCGGCGGAGGAGATGGCGAGGACGGCGGTCGGCGGAGTGGAGCACAGCGTCGGCTGCGGCGGAGCGGAGCTAGAGGCCGAAGCAGGCGGGCGAGCACACGGTGGCTGGCGGAGTGGAGCGGGGCGGCGGCGGCGGTGGACGAGCGTGCGGCCGGCGGAGCGGCAGCGTCGGGCGAGCGGAGTGGCGGCAACGTCGAGCGAGCGCGTGGCAGGCGGGGTGGAGCGCTGGTGGCGGCGGGCGATCGCACGATGACCAGCGGAGCGGCGGCGGGCGGGGCGGGGCGGAGCGGAGCGGGCAGGTCGTGGCTGGCGGAGTAGAGCGGAGCGGCGGCAGGAGAAGGGGGGAGGAGGCCGGCCGGATAGGGGGAGATGAGGCCGGCGGGAGAGGGGGGAGGATACGGCTGCACCGGCGGGAGAGGGGGAAGAGGCGACGGCCGCTCTCGCCAGCTGCTGGAAGGAGGTGATAGAGAGAGAAGAGAGATAAGAGAGCTAACATGTGGGCCCAAGGGCATTTTTGACATTTCACATGATTTCTCTCTCCTCTTCAACCGAAAATTATTATTTCAATCGGCGTGGTTTCCACTGACAAATTATCATGTTTATGGAGTGTTTTCCCCCAAAAGTGAGTTTGTGCAGTGTCCTAGGGCTAAAACCACACATTAGTAGTGTTCTGTAGCAAAATTTGCCAAACTAAAAAGGAATAAAAAGAGGGAGAGGAAGGGGAAGGTCTTGGCATCACACAGTGGTACATATTGTTCAATTGTTTAGAATTTCAGCACATTGCAAATTCAAAGTGTACAGATTTGTGATTGGAAATTTTGAAATAAAATTTGTGTAATTGATGCGAACCCTCGCATTGAGATAATGTTATGTTGTACACTATCATGCATTGAGATTTTTTCCCCATATTCTTGTTCTATACTAACTCTTGCGGATAATTTACGGGCCACACCGACTGCGAGGGAGCTGCTCCGGCCTGGCGGGCACAGGGCAGCTGCAACGAGCAGTCCTTCCCCGTCGAGGACCCTCCCCCTTCGTGCGGCGGGAGGTAAGCTGTGGTGTCAAAGCCACCGGTGGTGTGCGCGACGGTGGGCGTGGCTGGGACGGTGTGCACGGAGGAAATCGCGGTAGCGGACACCCGTGGTGCGTCTCCCCTGCACGCACTGGTACCGTGGCTCTGGATGTGCCGTGCCGAGCTGCCGGCCATCGACAACACCATCGAGGAAGGCGGCGGCGCCAGGAGAAAGCCAAGCCGAGAGAGCCAAAGGGCAATATGGTCTTTTCTTTTTGTCTCTTTCTCTGTTTTGTTTGAAAAGAATAAAATAATGTCTTCAGTGTCCTCAAGCATATGTTTTTTTAGAGTGTCATAGAGCCAATTCACGTCTTTGTGGTGTCCTATAGCTAATTACACGTTTTTTTCGATGTTATTGTTGACGGTCATTATTGACCAGTTTCGACCGTTAATATTACCCAATATATAAAGACTAACTATGCTTACAATGCATAATTTCCAAATAAAATATCTCCTTCCACTATATACTATGCTACTAACATGTATCCAGGAGAAGCACATATAAATGGAGGAGAATCGACAGCAAAATAAATGATCAATCAATTGGATGCTGTCGAGAATCAGACTTGTGGATAGATGGGCTGACAACACGGAATTACCACGAGCAAACAAGCCCACAATTCACACCACTGGATCAAAGGACCAATGTTGACGGTCGTTAGCGATCAGTTTCGACCATCAATACTACCAAAATAAAGGAGAACTAGTTATACTTGCAATGCATATTTGTGTTAGAATAATAAATATTCCACTAGCACTAGGATTACTAACCTCTTGTAGAGAATGACATAAAATGGAGGAGAATCGATATCAAAACAGGTGATCAATCAATCGGACGATGTTGAGAATCAGACTTATCAACGAATGGGCCAAGAACTCAGAAATAACACGACCAATTGGGCCAAAATTCATAAGTCTGCAGAAGGGATCGAGAGAGGAGGCCACCTGCCGAATTTGGACCAGGCCGGCCCAGCCCATGGTTTGGCCGAATCATTGGGTTCAGCCGAACCCACCGTGGCTCCGTTCGATGCAGGGTTTGGATGGGCGGTCAGGATTGCTCCCCTATGGCGGTTGGAGGGTATTACTGACCTTTCCAACCGTCATAACCGTCATTCTCAAGCTATATAAAGCCCTCTCATCCTCCATTTCAAGACACACCTCAAGCAAGAAGTTCATTTCATCTCTCAAGTTTAGCATAGTTTCTAGAGTATAATGGAATAGAAATAGAATAAAATCTTCAGTCCTCAGAGTCTTCGGAAGAATTCGTGTATGGCTCTAGTAGCTTTTCCTTTTTTCTTTTTTTTATGACTTGTACTTTATTTAGAATACTCTTCTTTATACTACTTTGGTATTGTATTACTTTCCGAGTATATGAATACCAACTTTACTATATGTTCGAGTTATATTTATTATGATGCTAGCTTATCTGGGAGATGCAATGGTGTGGGTATAATAATCGTATTTATGATAACTCTATGTCATGACGATGATATTAGATAGTATTTGGTAATTTAAGCGTAGTGTTTAGATTACTAGATATCATTATTTGGGGTTATATGCTGTGGAAGCGAGGTGGGCCGCTGATGGTGACAGCTCAGTATGGGTATTCCTCCACGAATGTATATAGTCCTAAGATACTTTCCTGGGGAGGGTACTCCACCGTATTTAGTCCCGGTTGTATAGTCATGACGGATTGTCGTAAGGAACTCGACAATCAGGGGTGGCTTCTCGAAGCACCAGCAGGGCATCGGATGGAGGGTATTAGCTAAGTAATACTATAACTAGGATGTATATATAATATGTATGTAAATTAGAAGTATAGGAATAGGATCTTTCTATATTCTTTCCACTTAGCTTAGATAATCACGAGTAAGAGGATGAATGCTTCTACTTAGTGTTATTGTACCCTATGAATTATATTAACCCCTGCTTAGACTTTGGTTATAAATTATTCGTACAGTAATATATAAATTATTAGTACTGTTCTCTCTATTATAATCTTCCCACGGGATTAAACAAATACGATACCTTTGGAATACTCTCAGGTGAAATGCTACAATGGTATATTCATGCGCTTGCGGATGAACTCTGTAACCATAATATACCAGAAGTATTTTTGCGCCATTACTGGGAATTAAATTTCTAGTAATGTCGTTAAGAAATACCAACAAGCATTTCTGGCACCATTGCCAGGGAAGATTTATAAAAGAGATTACCATTACTAATACTTTATATTTACCTCTATATAATCATTGTACTTTGCAGGCTAACCATGGTTGTTTTCACTTTTATTGTGGAAACAGGGTAGTACATGACTGGTTTCAACTTGCCGGAAAACTCTAAGGAAAATCCAGAGGCTTTCTTTCGGAGCGTAAGCCACGAGTCGTCGCTCTGCAGTAAACTCTTCCGACATAGAAACCAGCCATACCAGCGCTACCAACTTTCAAGACTATGGCTGACAAGACCCTCCGCGAATTTGCTGCTCCCTCTGCTAACAACGTGGCCACTGGGCCGCAAATCAACATGGGAGACGTGGATTTCGATCTGAAGTCCAGCCTTATCACAATGGCGCAGGCTAGCCCGTTTTGCGGCAAGCCTAATGAGGATGCCAATGCTCATCTGCAACAGTTCCTGGAGATCTGCAACACGTTCACAATGAAGGGTGTCAGTCCTGACGCCGTCAGGCTGCAATTGTTTCCGTTTTCCCTCCTTGGGAAAGCGAAACAATGGTTTTATGCCAACCGTGCCACGATCAACACCTGGGATAAATGCTCTACGTCATTCCTGTCAAAATTCTTCCCGATGGGCAAAACCAACGCCCTTCTGGAAGGATCTCAAGTTTCCAGCAGACGAGGGATGAGTCCATTCCTGAGGCGTGGGAACGACTTCAGGAATATATGGCCGCTTGTCCTCATCATGGGATGGACGACTGGCTGATCTTGTAGAACTTTTAGTATCATGACGAGCTGCGTGCTCGAGACATCCGACCATGTTTTATTGGTCATAATTATCCAACTAAAATGCGACTTAATGGTGGGTTGTGGGTGCATGGTTTTGCTAGTCCCACCCATGGCAGTTAAGGACCGGTTCACAGGATGCACTGGAAGACTTACCGCGCTTACCACAAGCGGGAATGGGTAACTGTCTGACTTGAAGTATAGCTTTCCTCTCTGACGCATCCAGGCAAGGGTGAGCGTGATGGAGTTCGGATGGGCCCTGCGACAGTCTATGCGCCTTTTTGATTTGCCTAGGCACGAGAGGGGACTGCCCGCTGCCTGTTGAGGAGTGGGGGTGAAACCTGAGGTGTGGTGTGCTTGGTCAGAGAGGGTTATATGAAGGGTCTTGTCACAATCACTCGACATGGTGACGTGTCCGGACAGGCGCGGTGACATGCCGGTGGATTGTGTCTTTTGGGTACAGTTGTGCACCTCTGGCCAGAGTAAAACTATTCGAATAGCCATGCCCGCGGTTATGGGCGATCGACCAGATTCATCGTGATTAGTCACACACTTATTAAATCGACTCAATGCACTGTAGTTCAGGTGGGTTGGTTGGGCCTATTCAACGTGGTGTAGCGTTGATCAGTGGAGATTTAATATTACCTTAATTAATCAACTATTTTACTGTTTTGCTCAATAAATGTTTTACAATTGCCTTTATGCAAATAGCCTCAAGCCATCCTTGTATCCCCTTGCACGCCTGCATCATTGGTGTGGCTTGCTGAGTACGGTGGTTGTACTCAGCCTTGCTATTATTCCCCCTTTTCAGAAGTGTAGTGCTTCTGAGCTAAAGACGGAGTTAGAGGACCAAGGCTCAGACCCCAGTTGAGTTTTGCCTGTGGAGTGGAGCTGAAGCCCTGCTAGGATTGCCTTTTTCCGCTGCTGCTGCTTTCGTTTCGGGTGTGAGGACTAAGTGCCTCTTCTGTAAGTATTTTACGCTTTATTTACGTTTGAAACCGTATATTACTTGTCGTTTTGTTTACCCTGGGTGATTCTTGGACAGAGATTTAATGCACAAAATAGTCTGGAAATTTGGGCTAAATTTTTGGGCGTGACAAGGTACAACTACAACTGGTCTTCGACCAGTGACGTAGCAGTCCACGTACCACGACTTTAAGTGATCAAGAACAACTACACACATGGTCTTCATCTTGTGTGGTAGTCACCTCAGCATCCTATGAGCATCAATGTCACACCCTAAAGTTCTCCTCCTAAGCCTAAAATTGAATTTATAAATCATCCTAAGAAAATGCCGGTGCAAATCAAGAGAAAACCTTAATAAATTAATGCAAATAATAATCGGAATTGGCATGTGGAATTTTTCTTGAGTTCTACATGTCGAAATACGCTAACAAGATTTTTAGTGGAATTTTCAGAGCTCTCGAAATAATTTTAACCAATTAAAATTGAGCACATGCAATTTTAAATCCCAGGGAAAATCTTTTCCTCCTTTTCTTTTTCTTTTCCCTCCTTTTCCTCTTCTTGGGCCGTCGGCCCAGTCCACCCCGCCGCCGCGCGCGCCCTCCTCCTTGTGGGCCGGCCCAAGCCGCCCCTCCCTCTCTCCCCGGGACGCCGACAGGTGGGCCCCACCTGTCGGGGTCGTCCCCTTCCTCCGGCTGCCCGCCCCACGTCGCCACCACCGCCGAAACCGCCGCTGTGCCAACGTCCCCGCCTCCTCCGGGTCATGTCGGCCACGCCCGCGCATGCGCCGCGCCTCCCGCACCCACTCCCCCTCTCTCCCGCTCGCGCCCGCGCCCGAGATGGCCAGGATTCGAATTCCGAATCCCACCTCTCTCTCCACCTCCACCTCCCCG